TGATCCGTACATCGATCGTCCTTCAAGATGTTTCTGCAGACGAGATGAATACCCTTCTAGTCCTAAGTGTATGTTAGTAATGCCGTAGCATTTCAGCAGATCATAAGCGCTTCAATTACAACCACTGATTAAACCGTGCCTCAGTTTTTGGGGAGAACTGAGTTCTACAACTAGTTTCTTTCACGTCCATGCAATCCAGCTACAAGAAAGATGCAGATGCACTGCATCACCCTTATGTTTCGGCGAGTTAATCTTCTGACCCTTGTCTTCACTCCGAACAGCACCCCCTTGGCTCACAGTCACTGTGAGGGATTTCTGACAAAGCATAAACCCCAGGCTGGAATACACCAGGCTTACCGGCGCGATCATGCGTTTTTGAGCTAGACTTGCAAGGGTCAGGCTATTTAAAAGCATGAACGGTTCCTGCGTTACAGTTTAACATGTGGACATATGTTGGCTGTATTTTAGTGTTTTCTTGCATATAGGTAGGATGGCAGTGTTGCATCGTGGGTTCGCATTAACTTACATTGTGCATGATTATTAATTTTTTGCATGAAGCCCCGTCATTTTTATGGTGGGCGGTCGCTTGTCAGGAAAATGCAAATTATTAAGTCGGAAGAAGATTATGAAATTCGCAAAATGCATTCGCTTTTGAGCTTGCGACAAAATTGAGTATTTGTCATGTCCGCCTGCGGAGAATTTCACATCCAAGCTGAATTAAGACGAATTAGCCACTAAGCGAAATAGCTACTTCGCTACAAATATCTTTGAAGTGCCCTAAGCTACGGTGAAAGTGCAAATCCAAACTCAATTTAGGTTACGATTTTCCATATTGACGATAAATATTCTAGCAAAAGTCCCAATTAGTTTTCGAGTTGGCACAGCCAACTGCGAACTTTGATGTGACTGTACACGCGATTCAAGCTTGCGCGATAGCTGAATTTGAAAAATTTAGTTCATGCATGCACAGAGGATAACTTTGCAAAGTTTCAGTGATTTTGTCTGATCCAAGAATCGTTTCCCGCCAAAGAATATTTTTTCGGGAGCCCATAACCGAGATCTTGGCCTGCAAGAGCGATAATTTTAAAAAGGGAGGGTGATACATGGGATGGAAATATGTCCCCAAAATTTCAGCCTCCCAGCTTTTCTGGTTGCTGACTTGAAAAACGGGTGACAAAGTCCACTCGCTTGCGAAGTCACACCTACTGGCATCCTCTTGACAGTATGCGTTTTGGCTCACTGTAGCAGCGCTACAGCGCTGCACAGCAAAAACGCATAACGAGCCACTCCACCCCCAGCTGTTTTTGTGATAATGTAAAATGCGACCAAGTGTCAAATTTAGGTATGCTAGGCGTTCCCACTCTGAGCTGCTTTCCTTTTGTTTGTGATTCGTTTCCATTACGTACTGAACTCTCCAAGCTTTCTGTGGATACTAGTCACTGCTGCGTAATGTCTACCAGTTATCGACGGAACCAGTCGTGTACCACGTCCAGCGGACTTTAGTTTCATTTGCGTTCGTGGCAATACCTTGCAATCTAGTAGTAGCCCCCAGAAGCGCTGGGATGTACTTACCACCTCCGAAATGCCGGATCCATTAAGCTCTGAGCTGTAAAATTCGGGAAATTACTAGCCGGCTCGGGCGGTACTCTGAAAGCGCTCGATCTTCTCTGCCAACACTAATTCGCGGCGTAGCGCTACCCCGCGTTCGGCGGCTGGATCGAGTGTGTTGGAGGAGGAAGGTACTAGTTAGCAGTTCAGGTCGATAAATGATGACAGTGGTTGGAGGGTGCTGGGTGATGGGTTCCCAGATGCCATTCTGGAGGCAGGATTTGGGGGCAACATAGAGGAGAGGACGAGGGTATTAGCCTGCAGTTCGAGGCAAGAACTGGAGACAGCAGTAAAAAGAAAAAAACAACACAGCAGTGCGAGGAAAGCTGGATTGAAGAAAACCTGGACTTGTAAAAGCCCAAAAGAAAAAAAGCGAAATCAAAGAATCGAAACTTATGAATATAAACAGCAACGCGCACCAGACTAGCCGGTGCGATCACGCGTTTTGTGCAATTCAGCCCATCGAA